CTGTGGTGACTTCCTCGCCGCGCGACGCGGCGCCTCCAACCTGCTCGTGAGCGAGGAGCCGAGGTGCCAATTACCCGGCGCGGCGATCGGGGACTCTCCGTGTTGTCGGTGGGGAGGGCTGGTGAGGCGCCGCTTCCAGATTTGCCGAAGCTGAGGGCACTTTCTCCGCTTTCCCTATGCAGGAAGGAGTCAAGTCCCGAGTGAGCGGGAAAATGAAGAATTTGCAGGATTAGTTTGCAGGTAAAGCTAGTGTGAAGCACCTTTCTTGGCGCTCATGGAGTTCAGGGGGGTCTGCAATTCCCCATTTGGAAACCCGTGCTCTTTTACAGAAGGAAACACATATGAAATGTCTGCTTTTCCAAGTGTCCCATCTGTGTCTGCTTTTCCAAGTGTCCCAGTATCTGCTCCATAAATCTGCTGTTTAAAGCACTCCATTAAGTGCAGTTGTGAAGGCTTGAACACACACTTCATTTTAAAATGTGACACTTGTCGGTGACATGCTTCTGTAATGACTTCCACAATTTATAATGCTACACTTCTAAAAATAAACATGTAAAATGGGGATCATTTCAATAACCTTAGCCTGCATTTCAGGTTTCTCAATAACAGTTTCTGAATCAGAAGTTGTTAGGCAAATGTGAAATCCATCACCTGGGGATGGAAATATTAGCATAGCTCTATGAAAAATAGCTTTGAAATCAAATATCCTCAAGTATCTGCAAATTTAGTCCTGTTCTCCCACCCCCCAGAAAAGGTTTGTTTGTTTTTTTTTTTTAAAAAAAAAGCTTTAAGTTGTTTGTCAGCTTGATTTTTTTTTCCTTACCTGTAAAGAGAAGTTATTTCCTCTTCCTGTTTCACATTTGAGCATCTTAACTATAGGTATCAACATACACCCCCAATTTACCGCCTTTCAAGTATTCACTTTCTGTGCTGGGAGGAATGGCAGAACTGCTGCTCCCTGCTCTGTCTGGGCCGGAACGGGCAGTTCTCCAGTCCCACTTTGCTGCCTGGCTTTTGCCATCCATCCCTCACCTGGTGACTCAGAACTTCCCGTCCTCCCCATTGCAGCCTGTCCACAGGCAGCAGGAGGGGCGGGCAGGTGGGTTTAGAGAATCAGCTCGGATCAAGGAACATGAAAGTACTCCTTGCACTTCTTTAAAAGGCAGGGATTTTCCAGAGCTGGCTATTTTCATTGGATGGTTTATCCCAACATACTCCAGTTAAATGCTAGATATGTGGGAAAAGGCAAGGTCTTAAAAAATTGTTGGCTGAAGGTCTGTTTGATATATTAAAGAACTGTATGTCCTTGGGCTGAACCTGTTGTTTGGATATACTCCAAATCCTGTGCTATTCTATACAAGCTACTTTCTAGATTTTATTTAGATGAGTTCCCTTCTAGTATGAAAACGTTTATTTAAAGGTGTTTTGCTTGTCTTAAGCTTCCATTAGTTTTTTAGTTGAAAATACTGCTTCTATGCCTTGGGTTCCTTTTGTTAACAAAAAAAAAAGAAAAGAAAACAAAGGTTTGAATTCATTTTAAAAGAAATGTTCATCTAAGTGCATGCTGCATTTGACATTCATAACAATGGAATACACAGGGATATGAATTGCGTCATTTCATTCCTACAGAGTCTTTGTAATTTTAGAACTATGCAGCTAGCAAGAATGATCTAAAATGTATGCAACTGCTTTGAACTCTACTCCAAGATTAGTGCTTGCAGTAGCAGATTTTTGCATTGGGTCTGTGCACTTGTCTCTTTTGAAGTTTTGTCTACTTGTTCTTTTTTTTTTTTTTAAGTGGTGATGATATTTGGAAATGTCAGTGTTGTTTAAAAAAAGAAAGAAATAAAAAGAAAAGAAGAGAAAGTGAGGATGGAGAAATATTCATCTAAAAACCCAGTTCTGCTTCTCTGAAACAAGAAAATCTCGCATGTCTTTATTCTGGAAAATTATTCTACCAACTACTTTTTTTTTTTTTTTTAGTAACTGGAGGGAGAAGAGACTTAGACAATTTGGAAAATGAAGTTTACTTGGGGAATTCATCATAATGCACTGGCATACTCTATGACTACATTAGGTGCTGGAATGATGAACAGTATCTTTAATTTCTACTACGTTAAGCTTTTTCTAAATGAATACAGAATTTCAGAAGCAGCATTTCATCAAGCTCAGGTATTGTACAATTTATGAATTCACTTTGAAAGCATTGAGAATACTTATACAAAAAATCCATGATAAATTTAGTTAGTCCATAAGTAATTGAATGCACACTTAAAGTGTATTGTTTCCAGTCTTTAGAATAATAATAAAAAAACTTAGAGGTGAATTGCCAGAAAGGTTTCTACCTTTCCTAGCTTAAAGTACTGTACTAAACTGATCTTACACCTCAGCTTCATGCACGCATTTGCCTTCAGTACTTTCTTACTGACTGTTTAAGTACTTAAATACTGCCTTGAGTCTGCAAGTCACTATCCATGTGAGGAACTCTTGGGCACCTAAATTATTTCATGGATGTAATGGCTCTTGCCTTGCTGTAGGAATTCAGGAGATGAAAATCTAGATACACAAGTATTTGAAAGCGTGAGGTCTCAGAGATGGGTTTATTTTAACTAGCTTAGTACCTTCCTGCTTATTTGGTTTGTTTCTTAAAAGTACTCAAAAAAGAAAACCCTTGTTTCTGAGTCTATTTTGACTTGGCAAATTTCCATCCCTTTTTGTTGTTTGAATAGAGTTTTATTTTAAATAAATATGATTGTAACTTGTGCTTTTGCAGTCTCTGCAGAAAAAAAAATGACACTAATAATATATATTTTTTTATGCTTGTTTGTCCCAGGTGGTATTTATGATATGGAATGCCATCAATGATCCTCTTTTTGGGTATATTCAAGATAATTCCAAATTCGCCTGCTGTTCAAGACGTCAGTTTTCAATTTTGTATGGAGCTCCCTTGTATGCGTTAGCCTTTTTGCTTCCTTGGTTTCCTTGGAAACATTACGAGGAAGGCGACTGGCTAAGTGGTCTCCACCTGATTGTTTCTCTGTGCGCTTTTGATGGTTTGCTTACGTTTGTGCTTCTGGCACAATGTGCCCTCTTTGCAGAAATTTCCACCAGACATGAAAATAGGCTTCAGCTTATTAAATACAACCAAGTAGCAACCTTAATTGGATCCACAAGCATTCTTTTCTGTGGTCTAATATCAGATAATATGGAGAATTTTGCCTATTTTCAGGCTTTTACTGTTTTGGTTGCTGCGTTAGCAACAGCTTGTATGTGTTACACGGGCAAATATAGTACCAGTCAGTATGAGCAGAGAGAAATTCCTATGGAGATTGCTAATCTAGAAAACCGTGATGGAGCTCTCTCCTGGTCCTCTGTTATTTCACTAACCAAGCAGATAATGGCAGAGAAAAACTTCTTATTTTTTGTGACTATGAACTTCTTCCAAGTCTTCCACCTAGCCTTTTGCAACAATTTTATGATGATCTTTGCGGATAATCTAATTCCTAAGGATGTCCTTTCTTCCTCAATAAGAAGTATTATGTATGGAGCAGGCTTTATTTGTCCTCAGGTAAGCGGTAATACTTTTTTTGTTTGCTTGCTTCAAAAGATGAAAAAACGGTCTTTTGTTAGTTTTCAAGGTATCCATTTATACTGTTTCACCAAACAAATGCTGTTCCCGGCATAAGCTGTTGGCCACACTGAAAAGCAAATCTGTAGCTCATCAGCTCTGAAAGAGCAACGTGCCCATGTGTACAGGCTGAACAAATATGAGAGTGGGGTAGTGCAAGAGGACAAGCAGACAAGGGGACAAATATTGAAGAATTTGAAATGAAAGTGCAAAGAGTAAATGTTTTGTGTATTATAGGGCTTATAATAGCTCAGTATAAAGGAAAGGGAAACATGGGCAGACTAAGAAGTTTCCAAAAGCATAATATATAGAGTTTTGATTTTTTTTTGTTTTGTTTTGTTTTATATGATGAGAAAATAATCTCTTTTCCCAGAAATTTCCCAGATAAACTGCACAAAACCCCGGAGAGCTACTAGGTTTAAAAGCTGTCTTGAAATGTGTGATATCTCAGTCATGGGAACTGAAGAAATCTGTAAACAGGTGTTTTGGGAGAATGATGCATTAAGATTTATTTTGCTGTCTGCTTTGATGATCAGCTACATGTAGAGAGGCCAGAGAAAGAAGCAATTTCAAGAGCCTAGTCAGAGGTGGAGGGGGAGGAGCGGTGAGCCGGAAAAGAGAGAGAACCCAGGCCTGTAATTTATGAGAGCAAGAAAGCGCCAAAAGTGTGTTCCACTAAATATACTGTTTGCAGTAAATAAGAAAATTCCCATTCTAATTCCCTCTGACTTTTTACACTGGATCTGTAAAAGCTTCTACTGTGTTTGCTATTTGGTGGATTTCCCAGAAACTGAATTCCCTGTCTTTCATCACAGATACCGATGGTGCTCAGAATTTCTGAACATCGGGCTGTAATGTTTTTTAACAAATAAAACCTAGAAGGAGATAAGGGAAAGTATAAGTTGAATACACAACTAAAATTTTCAGTAGAAGTTTTGGCTTTTGCTTATATAATACAGGAGAAAAAAAATACTCTCCTAAAAATACGAACCATACCTTCTTTCTTCCATAACCCTTAAATATCTTTCAACTTTTTCAAGTTTTTGACTAACCTTACTGTAGCTTTAATAGGCTTTTTCCATAACTCAAATATATCGTTAGGTGATGAACTTCCTTGGAAGTGCATCAAAACTACAGAAACTAAAGAATTATGGCAGCTTCAGTAATTTTACCCTCAATGTGTGTTAGTCACATTGGTTGATACAATCAGTGTGACAGTGTTAAACGAACAATCTTTCAGAAAATGTGTTTCTCTGCTCCCCAGAGACTCTTTGTCTGGAAGGTCGCTGAACCGTAGACTGTTTGCTGTGACCTTATTTTTTTTCAGGTTTTGTCCCTCTGAGTTCAAGATATAAGAATTATCTGGTGGCAATGTCCTGAACTTCACTTACTGGAAAACCACCCAACCCATGTAGAATAAAGCCCATAATGAATGTGCTTCAGTGGCCTGTACTAAATTAGAATACAGCTTCTCTCATGAGTTCCTTCTTGCAGTGGATGGCAAGAATAAAACTAATCAGGGAAGCTGAAAAAACGTGCAAGCATATTTAAATGTAAAACATCATTAAGATAGTATTTTTCTTACAAGTATGTAGTCTTAGAAATATGCATGTTGTCAGGAATTTTCTAAATCATAAGTGCTTTTTCACACAGAGTTATTTGTCAATTATAGAGAGACAAGGCCATGGTTTTTGCAATGATACACATTACATATTATCTTACCATTCCTTATATAAGTGCATTTCTACAAAATGTCTGAAAACAGCTTGGCATCATGTTTAGGTTTTTTTGATCAGATTAATCTGAAGAGTTCCTATAACAAGACAGTTTTACCTAGTCTTTATACTACCTGTTGTCTTTATACTGCTCGTTCATTGGTTTGAATGAAAGACTTGAGCTTTTTCAAAACAGTATTTTTCAGAATCATTTCTATCTGACAGTAATGTCCTGTTAAAATATTTATATATTGGAACAAATATACAAGGAGATTTCCTTCTTGTTCTTAAATACTAATTAAGTTGTTCGTCTTTGTAACAGAAGGAAGGAGAAAATGGCTTTTCTGCAGGGCTTGAGGATCTCTCTTGGGTAGTGTCTTGAGGGCACACAGGTAGATAGCGATACAAGCTTATACAGCAATGAGAAAAGCAGCATGCATCACAAAATGCCCTATTTAAAATGGAAAGTGAGGAAGGATATAGAAGAGCTTACACTTAAACATTATAACCAGCACTTGTTAACAATTTTGTGAATTTGTCCATCAGTTGCTTCTAGCACAGATTATTACTTGCTAAGACTGGCAGAAGTAAATGCAGCTGCATTCACTGGCATCTGCCTGTCTCTGATTAACTGGAAAGTCAATACCTTGCTTAGATCAGCTGTTTCTGATGAGCTTGCTTTATCAACTTAAAGGTCATGCTGAATATCTATAAATGTCAGTGAAAACAGATAGTAATATTAATGAAAATTTGATTCTTTCCCAAAATATCTTAGACCAGCAGTTAAACTTCAAATGGCAAGATGCTTGATTTGCAGCTCACACACTGCAAGGTTCATTATTTAAGGAATATCAGACATAAATATAATTAAAGTTAAATAATAGTTAGGGAATATGGGAAATATTTTTCTCGCAGTATAGCAGTGCTCAGCTGGTTAATTTTGGGTAAAGGTTCTTACCATTCTTACCTTGTAGAGGCAGCACTGGATGACCTGATAAGCAGTTCTTTGTTCAGTTTGTATTTTTTATTTGGAGTGTGCCTTATACTATCTTGTGCTTGGTCTGTGCTTTATAACTTTCCCAATGCTGAAATATTGTAATCTGTCTTTTTCTTATATATATGTGTGTGTGCATATATTATCTTTTCAGTGCCTTGTTCTTCTCAGTCATGCTTCGTTGAAGAAGTTTGGTTATTACAGAATCATCCTGTTTTCCTTTTACTTTGAAGGAATAGCTGCTGCCATCATTTTTTTCCTAGGGCCAGATCACTATTATCTTTTGGCATTTTATCTAACAGCAAACATGTAAGTAAATGTATTTCCTTGTTCATATAAAATGCTTACATAGTTCTAAGGGAATACACACTTTCTTTTAATAGCTGGAAGATTTTGCCACTCTGTTTACAGTTTCCTTTCTGTTCTGCTTTTCCTGTCAGAAAAGCTGTAACTCCAGTTAGAACATTTTCATTTTTCATTTTATTCCAGCTTTTAATTGCTGCTTATAATAAATAAATAAGCTAAAATAGCATTGGAATAAATACAGTAGTTAAGGTTTGCAGCCACATGCCTCCAGCCACATATTTGCTTTAACATGGGACAAATTCAGATGACAGTGAAGCAGAATCTTACTTTATCCACTTAAAGAGAGTCTAAGTAGAGGAACTCTGGAGACTGATACCTATGAAACCTTGGACTTCATTTAATTTACGTGGACACTTGCGCGTTGATGCTGGTGTGAGGTATCCATTAGCTAACCAGTGCTGAGTCACAAAGTATGCCTAGAAGTAATAGTTGCATAGATGTACATTTTGACATATGAAAAACCTTATTTTAAAATGAAAACCTTTTTTTTATATCAGAACATTGTTATGGCAGGTCATTTTTATTTCTTTATTTCCTTTTTCACTACTCTTTTATTTTTTCCTGCATGTGCTTTCTACCTTTTTTTTGTTTTGTTTTGTTTCCTTTTCCTTCTTATTTTCAGTATTTCAATCATGGGCTACTGTAACACTGAGTTATGTGACCAATAAATTGACTTTCATTAACTACATAATTTAAATGATGAAGATATATATGGATTTTCTCAATAAAATCTTCCAAGGTACCAAAAGACTGTATGTTTAATGTGCTAGATGTTCAAAACCTTTTGTAAGTAGAACATAATCACATCAAAGCTTAACACATACCTGTTAAATGTTATATGTAAGATATCCTGTGAAATCTGCCTTTAGTTGTTTGTTGAGAGTTAGCTCTGTGTGTCTGCCTGCTTAAATGTCTATATATGTCCCCTATCCCTTATTTCTTAAGTTTCATGTTATTTTAAGAGCTTAGTACTTATAATCTCAGACAAGTATCTATAACCTTTTACACCACTGTCAAACTGTAGTAATTTTGGAATTCCAGGCATTTTAAAAAATAATAATAATAATTTTCCATATATACTTCAAAATCTGACTTATAACAGAGCTTTCGAAACTGGTATTTAACCAGATATAGTGAATCTGGTTTCATTCATTGATTTTAGTGAATGTTTCAGCTTTGTTTGCAGAGATGGGTTTGTTTGTCAGCATGGATGGGTGTGTGTGTTAGAATGTCAGTTAACCTTTTTTTATTATACAAGTGTATAAAAATGCTATGAAATGTTAATTGTTTTGTCTTTCTTTAGGGTAATTGTACAAGCCTCATTTAGTTTGTTCAATCTGCCCTTGGCAGACATTGTTGATGCAGATTTAATAAAACATAAACGGAGGTAGGTTCGGTCTCAACTGTTTTGTTTTAAATACTCTATAAGCTGCCATGTTACTCTGTTAATAAATCAGATTATGTCAAAGTAAAGACTGCAAATAAGACATCTTTGCCCCTCAACACACAAGAGCAAGTCAGCATAAGGAAAGATGACTTGTGCACAATTCCCTGCAGTTACTGCAGCAGAGTAATTTAAACAGTTTGCTAGGTTGTTTGTAGTTTCAATTGTACTACAGTAACACAAGCCCAGTCCTAAAATTTTTTGGTGCTTATTCTTCTTACCTTCAGTAGATGTATCCTGCAAGCAAACACATCTAGTGTTACTCGTGGAATTTTCTGGGTAAGGCCTTTCTAATGTGGAAAACGCATTCATTCTGAAAGTTCTACTTATGTGAAACATTAGCACAGACTTCAAAGTCTAAATTGTTGCTGTTATCTCTTTGAAATAAAAATCAATGAAACCTCCTTTGACGTGGCATATTACAACTCACGCATCTTTTGGAGTTTTATCAAAGTGCAGAAAACTTCCTGTTGCTTCTATCAGAGTTTATATTAGTGCACGTTCACTCTTGGTCACTGTAGTAAAGGGCTTAAATGTGAGAACTGCTTTCATACAGGAATAAAATTTGCCTTTTCTATGGCTAATGCATGTAAAATCTTAAACTGTAATTATTTTTCTCCGTTCTGTTCAATTCAGGTTAGATTCAATAATTATTGCTTAGAAAGTTGAATTTTGTGACGAGTACGAGTCATTTCAGAGTTTAAGCTAAGCTTTATGTACCCCAGAAGTTTATTGCCTTTCATTTCCAAATAAAATGAAATTTCAGCATGATGTTCTCTTTGCTCTAATGTGTTTAAATATAAAGCTAAGAAATGATTAGCATTCATGTAGGAACAGAATTTAAAAAATCACTATTATAAATGATTGTGTATGCTGGTAAGTTAGTGCTGTGCATTTCTTTTCCCTAAATATTTTAGATCACCTCTTTCCTCTATGGTTTTTGGTACCAATGCTTTGTTTACGAAGCCTGCCCAGTCTTTGGCTCCAATGCTTGTGGTTACAATACTAAATCAGTTTGGATATGAGAACCTCACCAATGAAATTGCTCAGCCTGATCCAAGGTGAGTTTAAAAGGGATTCTTTAAATCATAGAAATTAAAGTGAAATAATCCTGTGATTCTAAAAAGCAAAGACATCTGCAGTTAGCTTTTATCAACAGTGCTACAAAGAAAATCTACTTGTTCTGTTATCTGTATAGAAATCTTCTCTAGATTTTTTTTTAACAAATAGTTCCTTAAACAATTTCATGAGGATTTGTGTAGTTTTGAGGGGGGAGGGGGGAAAGGATGAATTTCAGTAGCTTACCGTTTGCTCTTCTACTGTGGGGAAAAAAAAAAAAAAGATTTTTGAGTACTTTTTATGAAGACGGTTGTCCTGGCTCCTGTGTTTTATTTGCCTCAAAATTTATTTCCTATAAATATATAATTTTAACAGGGTTTCATGTAAGGATTTTTTTTTGACAAAGCAAAACATTATATTCACTGGAGAAAAGAGTTTGCCTCAAGTAGGAATATAATTTTGTCTTTAGCATTGTTTACCATTATAATGATTTCATTGCTGTCCCAGGGGAAATTTATGTGCAGTGTATAGCTGCTAATTAGCATCTTGAAAATGCATAGGCTTTTACAAAAACAGTAGTATATGGAGTTGGCACACCACAAGGATCATAGGCTGTTTATTTAGGATCAACAGAAGGAAGTGACAGCGTAAGGATTAAGAGGAGTTGGGAGTAAAGGCAAGAATCAGTCTGAGTAGGCTTTGCATGACCAGATAACCTGGATATTCTGAAAACTACACAATTTTCCTAAATTTTGAGGATAAATACATAAAAGACAATGGCAAATCTTGAACTAGGTGCTGGATATGAGAAGACTGAACTGTATTTATCTCGATGATTCAGAAAAATTTAGATTTGAAGCAAGAAAACTGCAGTTCTAATCCCTTTCAGACAGAGAAATGTTCCATTTGTGGATAGAATTTAAATCATAGTAGTTTGAAACTGAGGTTGACCATTGGCTTTTGCATTCTGAAGACCTTTGCAAGTTTTTGCTGTAGTAAAACACTTTTTTTTCTCTAACAGTGAGTTTATAGTTGACAAATTGTGAAAATAAGCTTTTCTGCTTGTTCACACTGATGCTTCTGTAGCACTTTCATTTAATTTCCTCATTGCTTTGCTGAGATATTGCCTACGTGAGGCTACAAGGAATGCCTGAACACACACATTTTGAGTGAATTTCACTTGCGTATGTAAAAAGTCCTAGCACATTTGGGAGGGGAGTCTTTTCCCCCTACTTTATTTCCCTTGTGTTTTGCTATGTTGATACCATTTTTTTCAGAGAGGGCTTCAAAAACATTAGACTTTTGATACTTTTCTAGTATGTAGCATCAAGAAAAAGCTACTTACCTAAAAATGTCTGTTGAGAGAAATCACATACCCTTGCATTCTTACATCTCCTGTAAAAAGTCCGTAAGGTGACGCTACGTCACCCACACCTCCTCATTCCAGTTAGTGGCTCTTTGGTTCTGCAGCTATGCAATATTAAGACTTCTTGGCATTCTGTATGGTTGAGATGTTGCATTGTTGTTTCATTCGAGTGCGAAACTGTAAGTTGCCAGTTTTTAAGCTTTTGATGCCATCGTGCTATTGAGCAACAACAAGCTCGCATATATTCTGCTTCAGAAATGATCACATTCCTGGAGACTTCCTAGGGCAACTGGCATGGGCCAAGTCAAATTCTTGTCCCAAAAGATCACTCGAGATACATCATCTCCATGGTGGTTCTGGCAGATTGTATTCTGCAGGGCAGGCAAGCTGCGAAGCCTGCAGAGGTGCTTCACGCAGAGTATCAAGATCTGGGAGAGAAGAAACTTCGGTCACTTTTTTGTGTTTCCCCTGCGAGATGGCGTAACAGGCAGATGGTTAATATTCATCAGAACTGAGACAATGTTTATTACTGAACAGCGATGGGCTGCTGTGTTAGACCAGGCGTTCCTGAGACCTCCCAACTGTCCTTCCCTTCCTCTGTATTAAGAGCCCTTGAACTGACCGTGAGCATCACCAGCATCTTCCTTATCACTAACATTATTTACTTCCGCCTCAATATCTTCTTAGCCATCAGTGATCTCTTCTTTAGGACCAGTGTAGATATCTCCTTTTTATCTCTGATATCGTAACTCTGAAGTGGGGCTTTGCTGCTCTCGGTGGTGTTTCCCTCCTCCAGAGGTTTCCTGGGGTTTTGATAGAACCATTATCACACAGGAAGTTGGCCCATAAACCGCGCATGGTGCCGCATAGATTATGCTTTAAATTCTTAGAAAATGCAGTAACTGCACATCAGTTAGGTATTTTGTAGTTGGAAGGTAGCTTAAGGTTTATTTTGTTTGTTTTGGATGTGTTTTCTTTTTCTTTTTTTTTTCTATGATATCCTTAAAATATGATCAGTAGCTTGCAGAATAGTGTAGTTTTCATCTGTTTTGCATTTGTTTGTTTCGCTTTTTAGTCTTTTGATCTGTCATCCCAAATGAAACTTTACCTGTCACCTATGTTAGATCTATTTCCCCTTCTTTGCAAAAGATACGTAGTTTAAAATCTCCCTCTTCTGGAGAGCCACTGCAACTGCAGTTAACTGCTCAAAAAACGGTCTTCTAAAATTCGTTCTTCAGAATGAAGTTAGGTTACGGTAAATCTTCAATAATATTAATTTCTGCAACCACTGTCCTTCCATTAAAACCAAATCAAGGTTGCACCAGCGAAACTCAGTGTTTTGGCTGATATTTTGGCTTTAGCTACGTTATCCCTGGCCTCCCTGCTGACCCTGCTTGCTCAGTTAACCAGTGGCAGTTGTGGTGGTCGTGCATGACACGGGCCCCATTTGCTTGAGGATGGACTGAAATTGCATTTGAACGCAGGCCAGTAAACAACCTCCAGGTGATAAGTGATGGTCACTGCCAATAAACCCGTGCTGTGGACCCGTGTCCTGCTAGTGAGCAGTTGCTGGAGCTGTTGAGTTGTTCAGCTGTAAGCCTGTGGGGTTTTGTTTCCTTCCTTAAGATTAGCAAGTACAGGGTGCAAGATGAAAGCTGACTGTTGTGTGAGGGTGTATATATACTAAGGAATAAATCTGATTTATGCTGGAGGTGGTGAGAGATTTTATGATAAGTGCAGTGAGATGTGGATTAAGTCCCTTATCATTCAAAGTAACCCTTAGTTTTTAGTCAAAAGCCTCCTCAAGTTAATGAGTTATTAGCACCGACTCTTTTTTTCTTTTTTGGACCATGTCCATAGCTGTTCTGTGAGTCTCTAATCTCACTTCTGAATGCCAAGAAAAAAGTAGAAAATAACTTAAACTGTGTCTTGGAGAGAAAGTTCATTGAAAGGCTGTTTCTCAGCTTGAGTTCACTTTCTTGATATTTAAGTAATTGCAATCCAATAATTAACGGAATGCCAGTAGATAATGATTCCAGCTACTAGCCGAATGCCTAAATGTATACTTGGAGCTGTCAGAAACCAGACTGTTCATAAAAAAGGATTTATTTTACTCATATGTTCTCCTGCTTCACTCCTTGTTGATGCACTCTTTTATCTGTTATTCCTTAGAGAAGATTTAGACCAGGAAATAACATGCATTCATGAGAACAGAAAAGGGTCTCAGTGTTAATTTCGCATGTATTATTTTTATGGTTTAAATTTTCTTGTCATCTTTTATTTTAAAACAATAAGTGAAATTAGTCTTAATACTTCTAAAAGCCCATTACACCATAACTGAGTTTCATGCATTAATCATGTCTTCTACATAGCACTTAGCAGCTACAAGAACATACTATGTGGACAGCTCATTAGCAAATGTTCAATAGGGATAATACAGTTAAATAAAAATAGTTTTGTATTCTAAAGTTTGCCTCTATTTTCTGCTTTTCTTTCCCTTCCAATTTTTTTTCAGTCTTACTAAGCATTTTTGTAAGTCCTGCTCTATGATTGGGTTATATTGCTTTAAATTCATTTCTGTATTATATAGTACAAATGTGTCTTAAAATTAACCCTTTGTGTGTTACTTCTCTCATTTTCTACTAACTGTTATGAAAGCAACAAGCATTACAAAATATGTATCTGTATATAGAATCAGAAAACATAATTGAAGCATATCTGGTATCTCGGATATTTAGTTAAAATTGATCATACACAGTAATGTAATCGAATGAGTTTTTTTTTTGCCATGAATTGACTATAAAAGTCAATTCTTATTTTCTTCATCCTGAAAGGTGTCTTTTCATCTTGTTCACCAGTTTGTTTTTAGGTCTTCATGATGCCATGTTCTATTTGATCTGTCTGGTTCCACTTTGCATTGCAGTCATACAGATCCTGACGTGGACTCGGTTTTCAATGCAGAATAGTCATTTGACAACTGTCTAATCTTATTGTCTAACTAAATATTTAATAGTTGGTCTGTAAATCTTCTGCTGAACTGTATGTAGGAGACTTAGTATATTTTAAATGTGAAAAAGCAACCTTGTATTGAATAGACTGTTAGGCCAAATACAGCTTGAACCATTCAAATAAAGTTGGATTCCTCAGTGTATGTAGAATATAACACAGATCACATCCAGCCTTAATATTCTGCTTTTTTTTTTCTCTAGTTGAGTTGTCATTTGAATGTGACAAGGGCGTTGAAGACAGGGAAGATGTGGTTTATTTTTTCCTAAATTACTAAAGTCATTTATGGTACATATTGTTCACTCTTTGAAGAAAGGACATGGCAGATCAGGTAAAGGAATCCCAGCCCAGCACCTGGAACTCAAAGGAACTGCATTTTCTTAAAGGTTACTGAAAGATGGTGGATTAATTCTGATGTGCATGATAAAATGGCACATCTCTGAAGCTTGCCAGGGAAAGCCCGGGTAGACGTTCCTCAGGAAAGGCAGGGACACAGAAAAATTTAGTTGAGATATCAGGAGCGAAGAATAATTAATTGCCTTATAGAAGTCAGTGTAAGACTAAATAATAATAATAAAAGATTAAGTTGCTACTCAATAAAGTATTGATGATTATGGAAAAAGCTCCATACGTCTTCTTTTGAAGTTACTATATTGTAGTACATTATACAAAACGTCATTGTGGTAAGAGAAGTATTATTTGTTCAAAAAAGCAGTAAGGGGTGACATGACAAAGTACAGCTTGAACAGCCTCTTTAAACTGCTACATCTTCAGAATTAAGATAGAAAAAGTAGGTAATCCAAAAAAAAAAAAAGTGAGACTGCCACTGAACTTTCTTATCCTTTTCTAAACCTGCATGATTGTTTTTGGCCATGAATCAAGAAAAGGATGATCAAATGCAAAAGCAGAGTGTCTTGCAGCAGCTGGTTTGTCTGCCTTCACTCCCCATTAGATAATAGTATCTGAGCTTCAGCTGAAGTCTTCCTGCTGGAAAAATGCCACAATTTAATTTTGGTAATTTAAGAGTGTCTAAAATAGCCTCGTAATTGATAAAGGAGATTTAAATGTGTGCAATATAAAATAGGAAGTATTATGATAACTCCGTGGAGGGAGAATCTTGATGCTTGAGTTCATAGGGTTTCTAGGCAATTCTCAGAATTTAGATCTTAATGCTATAATCGAATTTTATTTATTGAAATAAGGAAAGGTGTCTATTAGAATTAAAAGGATGTTATCTAGTAGTGAAGAATGCTAGTCTAATGATATAGTAGTAATATGTGCCTAGCAATAGAGTGAAAACAGATTGAATAAATGACAACTAAAGTGTGTAATTTTAAGTAGGAAAGAATTGCATTTTGTGGAGGTTACAGTCCTGGCTCTGTTCTCTTCTTGTACAAAATGACCTTCCAGTCTCCTGCTGTGCTGATTTTGGAGCTGCTTGGAAATTCATGAATAATGCTATGTTGACACGGTTAGTAGGAGATGTTTACATTTGAATATAGTTGTATAGCTTAATGGGGGCTGTCAGGAAAGACAAGCAGGAAGGGAAAGGAACAGTTAAGATAAGCCAGATCTCCACAAATACTTACAGGCTCTTTCTTAAAGTATTATGGCAGCTCAGGAAAAAGCTCAGTATTACCAGAGATCAAAAAAAAAAAATCCAGCAGATTTTATACAGGAATGCAAAACATAGACTAGGGCAGTTGTGGGAGTTGTCTGGATGAGGCTTGAGGAGGCATGTGTGAAGAAACAGGGCTTTCTAGGTTGCCTTTGGGAGAGGGGATTTTAGATAAGGTGGGTTGTTTATCTTAAAGCTCTCTCCCTGGTAATTTATTTTCTCACTACTACTAAAATAACAGAAGCAAAGGTTGTTTTATTGCTCTGCTTGATTGGGGAAAATTGCAGATTTACATCCTAGAATACACAAGGCTGTGGAGCTGTGAGTCTGCCCCAGAAGACAAGGGTTCCCTGTGATCACCACAAAGTGAATGCAATCTTGTTTAAAACACTGATTTGTAGGTAAGTATTCAAACCTTTGGATATGTTTTGAACATTTGGCGTTAAATAAATCATAGAAATTTTCCAACATCAAGAGGTATCAAAATGTTGAGGAGAAAAAAAAGAGTGTTTTCCCAGCTGTGTTAATTGCTTTGAATGACGTATGCTTACATTTATACAAAAAAAAAAGTTTTCTGAGATTGTGTGGCAATCAATACAGGTTATAATTCCATCAGCATATGTGCAAATGACAGTATATCAAATTATTACCTAAATGTACATGAATAGTGCATTTTTATAGCCTGTCAAGAGAAAAAAAGATGTTCAGTATACAGCTATCACAGTAGAATTATTAATGACCAACGTAGTACTGGGTAGGAACTTGGAAACATCTCATTAAAACTTAACCAGGTTTTATACTAACAATACTGAGATGAAAACTAGCATATTTCCTAATGTATTCAGCATGCAATTTATTATACATATTTTCCTGTGATAAAATTATGATATATTTCCTTGTGAACAACATGCAACTAACTGGATGCAAATTTATTTAGTGATTTGCACATTGCAAGCAGATGTCTGTTTAAAAAGCAGCAAATTTAGCTTTGTCATTTTGAATTTTGATTATAGAGCTGTTTTATTCCTGGGGGGTGAAAGCAAACTAATCTGTCTTTACAAACAAGAACATACATATAAAAAAGGAAAGTCCTGATCCCAAATCAAATAAGTAGTAGACTGAAAAGACATCTTGCTCGTCTAGCTATTGGAGAAAAAATGAATCTTGGTCTGGAAAACTGTCCAAAGCTCTCACATCAAAAACCTTCCTCAAGGAGATTGAACATCAATGAAAATAAACTGAACAGAAAAATCCTCTGGCAATGTTTTGTTGTTGCTCTGGTTTTCTTGATTTCCCAGGATAAGCAAGGTTGGATTTTATTGGTGCTTGATCAGAGCATCTTCCAGGCAGAAGCCAGGATCCTGTGGTGGTTTGACTTCATGTCATCCTTACCAGGAAATTAAGGGCACAGACTCCTGCCTTTCAAATCTGATCAAAAGGAAAGATGCCGATTGCTTGTGTTCATTAAGAAAAACAGTTCTGAGGGACTAGAGATGCTCGCCCTGGTGCTGCACTCAGCTGGAGTTTGATTAATGAGATGGGCTCTGTCTGGGTTTTCTTTCAGTTGGACATGATATTCCTCACTTTCTGCACTACTGCCACCAATAACCCATGTTTGTTAAAGCATAATTGGGCACAGTGGTGTAACACTTAACTGAAAGCTAAGGCTTTTGTCCTCATAAAGGCATAAGCTACTGTATTAAATGCCAGAAGTTTTTTATCGTTCTTGACCTGTGCCAGAATAAGATGTTTTGATAAGCACTGTCTGTTCCTAGCTATCTTTTTTCTGGGGGTATTAACTGCCTTCAGAACACATTTTCATCTGCTGGTCTCTACTGTGCATTACATTCCTGTGCACAGAAATGCCATGCAGGATCTTGGAAGTTTGTGTTTCCTACCACCCCCGGCCTTCTCTGTGTGCACCCCAGTGCCTCGGGAGGCCGGGTGGGAACGTAGTCGCTCTCAGACCTGCCTGCTCGGAGCAGTGCTGGTGCTCTGACCGTAGAACAAAGCTGCAGACTTAAAGAGGTCCTTTGAGGTCAAAACCTCGCAAGAACAGCACACTAGCAGTGACAGTTTACTTCAAGCCATTGCAGAACAATTGTTTGTCAGAGAGAAATGGATTGTTTGAGGACAGTGCCAACTCTAACAGCCACTTTAAATGCTTGTGTTTGGGGCTTTTGCGCACATCACCTCACTGGTGTGGACTTTTGTTGCGGATTTCCCACACGGAAAAGCCCGTCTCGTCATTTTACCGCGCAAGGAGAGCAACGG